AGTATGGCCTCAATATGCATCCATTTAACTATAAATGTCTCTAGTTTCTCATTCTTTATGGCTGAGTAGTACTCCATTTTATAAAATAAACCATAGATGTGATTTTCTTATAGCATTAAAGTAGGGTTTCTTTATTAGTTTGAGTGAGAAAAAATGGTCATAAACACCTGGACATTCAAGACAGATTATTTGAAGCTAGTCCTAAAACATTTTGGTTTTTAAGCTAATATTGAAATCCATCTTATAAAAGTACGCATCCAACAGAGAACCAAAGAAAGGCTCAGTCTTGCATGTGAAGGTTCCTGTGTGTGTTGGAGGGAGATCTTTTCAGTGTGACCATTCTCATAGTGGACTATAAGAAATAAAGATTTATACAATTACCACCATCTTTTCCCATCTTGGCAAATGCTATGTATGTGCTGTTTTCAGTGTCTATTAGCAGTGGGATGTGAGTCTACTTTGTCCGATGTCCTGTTCCCCACAGACAAACATTATTAGCATTGGGTACTATTCCCTTTTTTTCTCCACTGCTTATTAAAAACTGTAAGTACTACTGGTGCAACCACTGTGGAAATCAGTATGGAGACACCTCAAAGAACTAGGACTGGAAGTCCCATTTAACCCAGCTATTCCCCTGCTGGGTGTCTTCCCCAAAGAATTAAAAGAATCATACCACAGTGATATATGTGCACCCGTGTTCATAGCAGCACAGTTTGTAATAGCTAAAACTTGGAAGCAGCCCAGATGCCCATCAACTGGAGACTGGATAAAGAAAATGTGGTTTTTAAAAAATAAAATGGAGTACTACTCAACCATAGAAAATGAGAAATTAGAGACATTTATAGCTAAATGGATGCACATTGAGGCGAAACTCTTAAGTGAAATAAATAGGACACATATGTGTAAATACCGAATAGTTTCTCTAGTGTGAGAAACTGAAAGTGTAAATGAGGACTAAAAGGTGTAATAGATAATGTGAAATAGGAAGAAAAGGGGCAAAGGGGAAGGGGAAATGGGAGGGATAGGAGAAAGGAAAGAAGGGAATGGAATTAATATGAGAAAAGGAAAAAATGGAAACAAAGTCTTTGTAAATAGGGAGAGATGGAGGGGGTGAAGGCGAAGGGGAGGCAAAGGAGGGCAGGCAAAGCGGGAAAAAATTTAAAAAAAGAAAAAGAAAAACTCTAACTACTGTACAATCATACAACATCCAATGGGAAAAGAGAGGGACCTACAAGTTTTCCCAGGGTCTTTCCTACGTAGTCTTTTTAGACATTTTTAATGGGCTAAATGTTTTATAAAATTCCATGATCTACTTAACTGTTTAAACCTTTTATTTTTCCTGTTATAAGTATAAGCATCTTTGAGTAACAATACATTTCTCTTGTTATGCTCTGATCCTTTCTGAAACAAGTATGCTTAAGCATGTTTGTGTCTGATGCTGATGAGGAGGAAGCTTTTCTGAAGGAATCACACAGTAGCCATAGAGTTGGCAGTGTTTGCAGAGAACGTTTGGCCCAGTCACCCATCCCAGGCCGTCCAGCCCCACATGATCGTTCTCTGGAGGCCACTGCTCCTTGGCAAGACCGGGAGCCTCTGTCTGCATGCGCTGCTCTCAGTCTGGTCCCTATAGGAGAGGTTGCAAACTGCCTCATCCTGTAGACAGGAGGCTTTGCAGGATCCTCTTTCTCTGTAGGGCAT